ATCTCAGAATTATGAAAAAGAATTATGAAAGTGTTTGGATATTTTAGTAAATAATAGGGGTCTTCCCTTAAACACGTAAAAGCCTCATAAACCTCATAAAGCTCGTAAATTTACGAGCCTCGTAAAACAACTGTCAACATTTGTATGAAGCTCTATTTACGAGCTCCTCGTAAAATTACGAGGCAAATTTGATGCGCAAATGACCTCGCAAACTTCAGTGTTGCCGAGGGCCCGAAATTTTTATACTAAAATGTATGATGAAATAATGAAAATAAATGAAAAAAATAATAAGCGAAATAAAATGAATAAATTCCATCCACTAACTTTATTGATTTAGGTTGTCTGCTAGTTTTCGGAATTTTTACTTGTATTTTAGCCAAGAGTTGTAGAGAAAAGATGGCGGGATGTTATGGAAAATACTACGAAACAAAAATTGCTTCACAAAATCCTGGTTGATCTGTCAAACAGTCACTTTACGCAACTATTTACACCTTTTCACAAAGGGGACGTTCCCATAAAAGCCGCGTAAACTTACGAGTTTTACGAAGTTTAAGACTTTTCAAAGAAATTCACGCCAATCCGCACTAACGGCGGTTGCTGAAAAATGTATTGTGTTTATAATTGTCTGGATGCCTACTTTACACAACAATTTGACAACTAGTACATATTCTCAAATGTCTTGTCTCAAATTGTCTTATGTAAACGCAGCGTTAAAGACTATTAGGCCGTGAGAGAAGTTAAAGGCCCGCTTACATACAACTTTGGCGATGGCGTCGCTTCGACAACTGACTATGAATACATGCATTTATATGAAAGTCTCCACATAACCAAAGTTGGGGAACGCCAACGCCAACACAACGCAGAAAGATGGCCAACTTTCAACTTTTCTCGCGATTTAATTTTCATTTTTAATCATATGCCTACATCTAGGCGCATTGTACTTTTTGAGGGTTCTAAGCTTAGAAGAAGTATTGTGAAGAGAAGTGGGTACAATTGATCGTTAAGGCGCGGTGACCTTTTTCAAATTAAATGAAACCCTTTTCAGGTCAAGCGAAACCATTTTCAAATTAAATGAAACCTTTTTCAGATAAAGCGAAACCTTTCTCAAATTAAATGAAACCTTTTTCAGATTCAATGAAACTTTATTCAAATTAAAAAAAACTTCCTTTTAAGAATGTTTCATTTAATTAGAAAAAAGTTTCATTTAACTTGAATAAAGTTTCATTGAATCTGAAAAAGGTTTCATTTAATTAGAAAAAGGTTTCGCTTTATCTGAAAAAGGTTTCATCTAATTTGAAAATGGTTTCGCTTAAGCGGAAAAAGGTTTCATTTAATTTGAAAAAGGTTTCACTTAATTTGAAAATGGTTTCATTTAAACTGAAAATAGACCATGGAGGTACATATGCTGTACCAAAAACATAAACGGAAGTTCACAAAAGCTGATATATAGTGAAACCCGCTTAAGGAACCAACATTTATGGGCACCGTGAATATTTTAATGTAATCTGAAGAAAATCTCTCTCGTAAGTACCTCCCCGCTTATGTACCCAATCCACCTAAGTACCTAAATTTTTCGTACCCCATATACCATTTTACTTATAATTTTCCCCTTTTAAGTGCTCCCGCAACACGTTCGGCAAAGAAGTTCTAAAAAATCAACTGTAATTTTTATCCACTTGAAACCTGCAGATTATTACACTAAAATTGAATGGGCTATAAACACTTCTGAGAAAAATGTTTGATATTTTAATGAAAATTTTATGAATATTTTTTCAGTGTTCTAAAAAATTTGAAGGTTAGGTTTATATGGTATTTGTTGTTAGGGAATGAACTGGGTTTTTATTGAAAAATCCTAAAAACTAATAAATAAGCAGAAGTGGCAAACAACATCATTTTGAATTTGGTCCGATATTATACATAGGTCCCACACTGTATGTATGTTTAAATATGTATAATCAATGACTTTGAGGAATTGAATTCGTGTAAAAATTACATAACATTGCTTTATCGATTTTATTATAAAGTTTTTGTTTATGTATTAATGTTTTTAAATAATGCTACGATCTTGGTTTTAAACTGCGTACACTTCATTAAATGTTCATGTTTTATTCAAAAACTTATTTATGTAACTTAACACAAAGATTAATTACACCAATAATTCAATCAATAAGCGGGTTCTTTTAAGTCCCAACCCGTCCAAGTACCTCAAAAAGCTGAATTATTTTGTGAGGTACTTAAGCGGGTTTTACTGTAAAACTATTCGTCGATTTAAATAAATATCGTCGCTTGGCGCGCAATACCTCGTATCCGCCAAATGAAATATCACGTATAAGATAGTCCGAAAATTTCCCAAAAGAGCGAAAAAACTTATTTTCTTCAAAACCTTGGAATGGTTTGCTAACTAAACTTACTAAATACTTACTAAATAGGTTTATTCCTTATCTTTTTGGACTTAAATCTGAAAAGTGTCAAAATGCCAGAGCGTAAGCAAAATGCGCTCACTAAAAGAGAATAACAGGAAAAGTAAAGGAACGCAAAAAACCAAATTTTTAGTCCAAAGAATGGCAACAACAAAACCAACGTCAAATAAGAAGAGAAATGTATGTACAAAACACATTCACACAAGCACAAGCACAATAAACACTTACTATATCAATTATTTTTTGCCTCCTTCCAATTTCAATTCATTTCTTTTACTTTTTAGATTATTCTCACTTTTAGCGTATTCTTTAATTTCCGTTAATTTAAATTCAGTTGAGTTTAACACTTTTCAGGATTTTTCCAGAAAAAATTCTTCTGACTAAATCTGTCTACTTCGGACTGATGAGAGTCACTCTCACTGACTGTTGCTCTCTCATTTTTGCTGTCATTTCCGAGTTAAGGAACGCGACTAAATCTGACTACTTCGGACTTTTTCTGACTATTTCTGGGAGATAAGGAACGCTCCTAATATGAGCTTCACTATAATTATTTACTAGTGTTGGAAAACTATCGATAGTGTATACATTCGATAGTTTCGATAGTGATAGTACAAAATATTCGATACTATCGATACTATCGAAAATTTTCTAACATATGTATATTGACTTATAATACTAATACCTGGTTTCACCAATCTTTTTTAAGAGTTATCAAACTTAGTATTTAAAATAGTAAAATTTCGTAACAAAATTGTGTTATTTCAAATTATAACAGTCTGATAAATTTAAAATTGTAAACGGACAAATTGAATTACATATTTTATGGCTAATATGCCAAAAAGAATTCGCAAGTGATATAATAGATCTCATCGCCTGTAAATTAGTTCGTTTCTTCTTGTCAGACAACAACAGTCAAGAAAAGATCTTGTTCTCAGATAAACCATTTCGCCACTAGAAAAACCACAGAGATTATTTGTATAAACAAAAAGTTAACAACATATAACTTGTGTAAAAGAACTAGGAAGTAAACAGTTCATTTCTTTTTAATTGAACCACTTTTAAACTGTAAAAATTATTTTAAAACCAAAAGAAGTTATTTTTTTAAGAAATTATATAAAGTCAGCCTTTAAGTCAGTTATTAAAAACCAGTTGCGTTTTACCATGAACTCGACGTCTAGTTAACAATGATGTGAACAAAATATAACTATCGATAGTGTTTAAAAAAATTCGATAGTGGCGGCAAAATAAAACCATCGATACTATCGATAGTTCTCCATCATTATTATTTACTATTAACAGGCTAACCTAATATTCACGCACGCCGCCAATTTATTGTCAAAAATTTTTCATGCACATGCAACTCGTATGAGATCAACCGAAATTGAACGGCGTGCGTATGAAGCTAACTCAATTTCCAATTTTTGTTCTGCGTGACATTTTGATTTGACGTTTCGCTCAATGAAATCAAATGCAAACGCATGCAAGTCAATTTCGGGTGACGCAAAAAAACAAATTCGACGGCATGCGTACCAAAACGCAAGCCGCGAATATTAGGTTAGCCTGTAAATTTTTGAAGTAGGGAAGCATTAGACAGGGTAGGTTAGGTTAAGTTAGGTAAACGGGCTGCCTCCACATATAGAGGCACACTTGGACTCGACTAAGCTGTCCGTTGTGATGCCCTAAGAGGGGGGAGGGAAAAGGACGCAGGGAGGCCGGAAAAAGAGAGTGGATGGGAGAAAGATGACAACTATGGGTTTTTGCCGGAGAAACGCTCCGTCCTCACAACGAACCTCTTTAGTCGACTGATGTCAACTCCCGAGAGCTCATCGGGAGTGTGAAAAAGTGCGACCCAAGGTCCTTAATCCTTGGGCTCGCAAAGGCAGGGCACCAGAGCAGAAGATGTTGAGAAGATTACATCTCATCTTCCTCCATGCAGCTGGCGCAGTAAGGTTCATCCACGACATTCAGCCTTACGGCATGGTTACCAATCACACAGTGACCAGTAAGCACTCCCACAAATAGTGAGAGATGCACCTTGCTTACTCTCAAGAGCTCCCCAGACCGCCTCTGGTCCACCCGTGGCCAGAAAGACTTTGCAATGTAATGCGGTAAAAACATACAATTTGCAACCCCACACATTACTACAAATCAACTTATATGAACTCGCCTTAAAGCTATTACAATAAAGAATTGACGATATTAAAATGCGACCCTGTCGTATGTAAGAAAGCAGCTAGGTTTAAGACAAAAGTTGAATAAATTGGCGGCATTCCCCCGCGTACTGAGCGTTGGCCGGCAGCAGCGCCGGCGGAACACCAGAGCTCCACGCGAAGTTACAGGTATGCCCCCATATAACGAGGTGGGATATTCCACTTCGACATGGCGACCATTAAAGAATTCTTAGACATGGCTACCCCTGAACAGAAGAAATCCTTTATAAGTCTTTGTGCCTCAATCATTAGGGAAAATTACAACGACGATCCGTTAGCACTTGAATCGTTTATTGATAAAATTAGTTTAATTGAAGACCTTGCAGACGAAAATTTAAATACAACTTTTATATAATTTTTGAAATCAAAGCTCGAAGGCAAGGCACGTGAAGCAATTCCAACCGAAGTCAATTCAGTTCGACAAATCAAAGATGCGTTGGGAAACAGAATAAAGCCAGACAACTCGAAAGTTGTGGCTGGGAAAATTGCATATTTTCATGTCATAAACAACAATTATACGGAATTTGCTAGGCGTGTAGGGGAGCTTTCGGATGCATTAAAGCGTTCTTTGATCATTGAAGGTATGACACAATCTAAGGCCCATGAAATGGAAGTCGAGCAAACAGTTAACGTTTGTAGACTTAATACTCGGTCGGATATGTTCAAATCAATTTTATCGTCAACTACCTTCAGTGATTCAAAAGACGTAGTGGGAAAAATGATAGTCGAACAAAATAATCAAGTGGTAGAGCGTCAAGTGTTAGCGTTTTGATCCCGAGTAAATAGGCCAAATATTTTTAGAGGTAGCTTCAGAGGTCATAATTTTAATAGGTACAATAATAATAATGCCAGACAAAATAACTCTAATTTCAATAGGTACAATAATAACGGTAATAATAGTAGCTACAACAACGGTGGAAGGCATAACAGCAATAATTTCAATAATAATGTCGATCGGTCATCGAATAACAGCAATCGGAACAATAACAGCAACATTAATAGTAATAGGCGTCCAAATTCGCGCAATCATGCTAATGTGCGCGCTTTAAACGCCCATGCCTTTCAGGATCGAACACTGAGGGCGGAGGAATTGGACAATTAAATAAATCTTTCTCGACAAAGAGCATTTATTGCTTAAATTTGAATTACTCCGACTTTATCGAATTGAAAATTAATGGGTCAAACAAATTGTTTACGTTTTTAGTCGAACCGCAAGCCGGCATTTCTCCAATAAAAAATTCCAGCATTGATAAACATTTTTCTATAAATAGGAACGATATAATTAACATTACCGGTGTCACTTCCAATACTGTTTCCACTTTAGGTACGATTACCGTAAACTTGACTTATACTGATTTTTGCATTAAACATACTTTACATTAGGTATTTTCGATATTTAAGAAAGTATCGATATCATGAATCAATTTAACTCATTGCATGTAAAATCGATATGGCGATATATCGGGCTCAACAATATCGACATCTACGGTTGCCAGACGTACTGATTTTATCAGAACAGTACTGATTTTTCAACTCTTGTACTGATTTTATTAATTTCTTCAATCAGTACGCTGTCCTGATTTTTCAAAATTTTGTACTGATTTGTACTGAATTTTCAATTCAAACAAAAAACTTTAGGATTTTCTTAAGGTTTTTGCATAACGTTGTAACTTCCTTAAACTGTACTGTAAACAGGAAGAAGATAATTTAATTATAGTTGACATGTTTCAGATAATGTTTGATATGCCCAAGAAATTAATATAAAAAAAATATCTATCGTTTTATGGGCATATCGCCGCGTCGTTACGTACCAGAAGCGATAATAGGTGTGTTCCACAATCTACTCCAAGTAACTTCGAGTTACACATACGCGTTCCACAAGTAAGTTTTAGAGTTTCTTTGATATACGCTCACAGTTTGAACTTTGCTCGAGTTTTTCTACAAGTAGCTTGTGGAACAAACCTAATATCGAGGGTTTATATTCAATGGTCTCTATCTGCCAATTTTCACAAAAACAACTTTGTGATCTGGGTCTTATTTGTCATCACTGGTGTTAATTATGACTTTGCAATTTAAAAGTAAATTCTTCTGTCAAGCGTGATACGAGGTCAGCATTAACATCACCGAGGACGGTTAAGTCTTTGGTGGATTTTTTGTCTTTGGTGATTTTTTCTCATTTTTGTGAAAAATGCAGATAGAGGGTATTGAATATATGCCCTCGATATGTTGGAGGTTTAATCATTTAAAAAATAAGGCTGACGTTTTTTTGTCGCGTGCTGCTAGTTTTCTCGAAAATATCTTTCAGTTTAATAACAACAAATTTGAATATTCGAATGGCTTTTGCCTATAACTTACAATTCTTTTTTCACAATTTACTCACATTGTAAAATAGTTTTGCATACAAGATATAGAGTTAGATACTCTTTTTAGCGAATTCTTAGCCTTTCAAAGTTTTTGCGTAGTTGAAAAAATGAATTTAAGCCATGAGGAATTATAGATGAAGTCCTTAAATAGTGGTACTTTTCCACAGTTTGAAAAAATATGTAATTTAGTTCTTTTTTTTTCAATACCACACTCAAATGAAGCAACTGAGAGGATCTTAAGTATAAAGTTTTCTTCCTGGCGCAAAGAAATAAACCGGCTTCTAATTAAAGATTTTAAAGTGAACTTCATATTAAAAATAATTTTAAAATGAAAAATATAGAATTCTTTGACTATTTAAACACTGACGATGCAAATGATCTTATTATTGCTATTCAAAAATGTCGTAAATATAAAGTACTGTGTCTTTGGTGATTTTTTCTAATTTTTGTGAAAAATGCAGATAGAGGGTATTGAATACAAGCCCTCGATATGTTGGAGGTTTAATCATTTAAAAAATAAGGCTGACGTTTTTTAGCATGAAAAAGTCTAAAACGATGTTTCCACAGCAAGGATTCGCTCTCCCAATCGTAATTCGCTCTCTCATTCGTGGTTGGCGCCCGAATTACGAACCGAATCACGTAATTCGCCATACAAAATTTTGAGAGCGAATCACTTAATTCGTAGGTGATTCAGATCCAATCAACATGCGAATCAAGAACAGATCGTTGTCTTCTCTAACTTTTATCGATAACGGCTGTCAAAACACATAGACCACACAAATCCCCACCAGCACAAACATTGAAAAATAGCTAGATTCGTTAAAACAATTGATTTAGCTAATTAACCACTGCAATTTTTTTCTCCACCTTTGAAATGCACAATAAACAGCACATTAAACATTAAGCAAAAGCAAAGAACAAGAAGCAGAGGTGCAAAGTGAATCACGAATGCGGCGTGTAAACAGGTTGATTCGCCGTTCATAATTGAGAGAGCGAACCACGTGATTCGGTTGGCGTGCAAACGCCGTTTAACGTACTGATTTCGCGCATAAAAAGTCTGGCAACCCTATCGATATCGGAAAAATCGATGTTGAAAATCTCTCTCCCAACTGAATAGAATATTAGACCTGCCTATCAACTCACGTAATTGTGTTATTTCCATCTTGTATATTTACTGAGGATTAAAACGGCATGCCGGTCGACTGTATTGTCAAAGAGGGAATAACCCTGGGATTCAGTAATTCAGTCTCATCTCAAGTCACTAAATTTGAGATTATCAATTAGTGACAATTTTTGTGACTTGAGACGATTTGGGTATTCAAAAGGAGGGAGCCACAAAAAGTTACCAAAAATGTGTGGTGAAAGCAAACATAGACAATCAACTGATAGTGTTTATGTATGCCCTTTGCCCCCGCCGTTCAAAGAGTCGCAATGGCCTAGTGGTCAAAGCATTAGGCTGGCAGCCGGAGGGTCCGGGTTCAAGTCCTCGGCCATAGAGGATTTTTTATTTAGTATTTTTTTATTTTTGTATTAGTTTTTTTTTTAGCAATATTTAGATTTTAATGTTTTAAAAACAAAAAAATATATATATTCTTTTAATACATTTGTATGATATTAAAGCATTTTGGTTTATTTCCTAATGAAATTATTGTTGAGCAAATTTCGTCGCTTCATTTTCGCGTTTTTTTTTTAATAAAATGGAAAGAAATAAGCTTTTCCTCCATACTTCTATTTTTGTGACCGGCTCTTAGCCAGCTAACAAATTAGTGACTTATTTTTGAGACTAGAGACGTGCGACAGCGTACTGAATACCAAATAGTCTCAAAATCCAAGTTAACCACCAAAAGTCACTATTAGTGACTAGAGACCGCTTACTGAATGCCAGGGTAAAACAAGACAATCAGGCCGATTCTGAACAGAAACTCCCCGGGAGTTTTCTCTCTTTTCCCTTTCCTACTATCACGAATAAAAATTCCTTGAGGATTTTTTATATTAAATGGCGGAGTTGAGCTCTCAAAAAAGTGTTAAACACCTTTTTCGAAGTTCGAATCCCCTCCTCCAAAGCCTTCGGGGAAAATTCTACTCCTGGGAGTTAATTATTGGGGGATTTCTTTCTCTGGAGAAACAAATTCCCGGAGAACAAACTCCCTGGGAATATTAAGAATTGGCCTGAATAAGTCTAAAGCTGGAATTAGTCAAGAACGTAAACCTACCGGTACGTAAACCCCAGTCAGCTGACACGATCCGTATTACCAAAGCGCCATGTAAATGAAAACTCAACACCGCAGAATTTTTCTGTAGTTGTAGCCCGTAGCGCAGAAATCTGCGGAATTTAGATTTTTCCGCGTCAGCTGATTTCTCCTTCTTTAGATGGTTGCCACTTCGTCAGCTAGTTAGTTATAAAGTTATAAGTTCCTATTCAAAATATTTGAAATTTACTATTGAATAAGGTTTTTGTTGAAAACTAAGTAGTTTATATTTAGCTACAATCTCTTATAGCCCGAAAAATTGTAGTTCAAAGGGTAAGTTTATGAAAAGGCATTGATGAGTGGCAACTCTGTAGTAAGCAAAACTGAGGGCTCCAGTAATCGACAAAATTCTGCGTATACAGACTACGTTTAAATATACGTTCTGCGCATGATAAAAACATAGCAAGGTAGAACCGTTCTCTCAATTTGTCGGCCATGATTTTTTTTTTGAAGTTTGCCAACATTTTAAAATCATATAAAAGTGAAAATAAAAATTGAAATTGTTCGAAATTGTTGTTGCTTGAGATTAAAAATGAAAATGTGTGTGTGAGTTTGTGAGAAAATTTAAAAATTAAATTGTTTGGAAACGTCAAGAATTTTAAAAGTGACTCTCAGCTGTTATACCTTACTATATTTTTATCATGGTTCTGCGTTCTCGACTAATTTCAGCTTTACGGTGGCAACGAGTTAAGAGCCGTATACACCATGCAAGTGGTTTGTCAAACTTAAGAGCTACATAAATCACACAAGCTGCTGGTTAAATATACTTTAGAATTTTCCCATACACTTTTTTGTAGATGAAAAATAAATTCCAACTTAAATATCGATATTGGGGGTAAAGTATCGATGTGTTCGATATATCGACTTGGGGATATCGATTCCAAATTTTGATTATGCACCATTAAATATCGATACTCAGAATAATCGATACGATATCGAAAAATTCCTACTTTACATGTAGGAAACGATGGCGCGTATTCAAAGTCCAGCAACTAAATCGAAACTAACAAAGTTGCAACTTAAATTTAAGTACCAACTTAAAATTTACTTCTATTAATTGTCGAATTTCAGACTTCTACTAAGTAGTATCGTCTGCAAAACGAGTGTTTTTATTTTCATTGCATGATTATGCAAAAGAATAAGGTATCATTTTCTTGTTAATTGTGTGAAATAGCCAGAACAACCGCAGTGATGTGAAGTCGATGTTTATCGAAAGCATGCTGTGAAACATACAAATAGTGGATATCTAAATGTTATGCACAAATTTACTTTAAAAGAACTAGCGTGAAACTGACTTATTATTTGAGACTTTATCTAAATTATTCCAATTATAAAATTGTGATGTAGCTTTATTCGAATTGTAATACGCATTGAATTTCATCTTCCGATTAAAATGGATCGATCTTTGTAAATTTTAATTGGAGATTATTCAATATTATCAAAATCACCCTCTGCGAACTTAATTTTTACATATTTCGTCTGTTTTCCCT